TTTTTTTACTAAGTCAGGCAGGAAGAGCACCTGACTTCTCAGTGGAATTTTTTTTATGGTTTGTCCATGTTATAAGTACATATCAGTATTTCATTTCATTGTTTTTTTGCAGCTGAATAATAATACAAATTCTTGAATATACAATAGGCATCTACCTCTAAATTTCACTGATACTGCAAAAAGCAAGAACTACACTCAGTGCTGGTTGGTGAGCGTGCTCCCCGAGAAATGGAATGAAACTGACAAAATCTTCATGATACTATTCACAGTTTTAATTGAGATGATCCCGGATCAAGCTTTTTGGTTGTAAATTCACAGCAAATTCAGTGAGTAACTACTAGGGGATATGAAAAATCTTGCTTTTAAACATCAGGAACCAACTAACCAACATGTTGCACAGAAAATCTTTATTAACAAAGGCAGGGAAATATTGGCCCAAGTTCAGAAAAGAGACTGGCAGGAACAGGCAGGAAAAGAAACAAATCATTCTCAGTAAGACTGTTCCTGCCTGAGATCCTGCTAAAATTCATAGGTGGCTTTAGAGTTTCATGAAGCTGAAAAGAAGTGTTGCTTATCCCCAGGACGGATCAATCCAGCAATCATTCAAATGCCTGCATGGCAGAGTGGGTTTCTCTGGTTCATGAATTCCCACGGGAAAGGCCAATCTGCCTGGCCCCATGCATCCATTAGGCAAACTAAGGGTGTAGCCTGTATCCGCGAGATAAGTGCTTTGTGCTTTCAGAGTGCCAACACTTAGGTGGCTAATATGGTTTCTTACTAAGTCAACAGGAAGATGATAAAGGCAGCAAAAATCTGGGGACAGGGCAGCGTCCTGATAAAGTGTGACACCTGCTGGCTGACCAAGAAAAACAGAAATATTCTCAGTCTTTATTCAAAGACTTTGAAAAATAAAATAATTAGATGCCATTTTTTTTTCACCCTCAAAGACTCCCCCTCAAATCATAACATTTTGCTGGGGAAGACTCTAGGGAACTAGAATAAAGGTGGTAAATTGGTAGCACTTTTTTGCAGGAAAATTAGACTTTGTTATTAAAAAAAGAAAGAAAAAGAAAGAGAAAGAATTTCTCTGTTTTGACCAGCAAATGCAAAGAAAAAAGACAAATGTTAGAATGTCATATTCCTTTTAAGTCAGTAATCTCATTGCTAAGCTTATCTTAATGAAGTTATCACAGATGTATGCCAAGATGTAGCTACAAATATGTCTGTCATGGACTGCCCTATAATAGCAAGACGCAGGAAACAATGTAACATTCAAAAATAGAGTAATAGTTTAAATTAGGGTATATCCAGATGTTTAAACATATTTTGCTACATACCTACAGGAAATAAGGCATGTTATCTATTGTTCCAAACAAGATACTTAAGTATTTTTGTTTAAAAATGAAAAAAAGTAGAGCCAGGTGCAGTGGCTCATGCCTGTAATCCCAGCACTTTGGGAGGCCAAGGCGGGCAGATCATGAGGTCATGCTATTGAGACCATCCTGGCTATGGTGAAAACCCGTCTCTACTAAAATACAAAAAATTAGCTGGGCGTGGTGGCACACGCCTGTAGTCCCAGCTACTCAGGTGGCTGAGGCAGGGGAACTGCTTGAATCCGGGAGACGGAGGTTGCAGTGAGCCGAGATCATGCCACTGTACTCCAGCCTAGAGAAAGAGCAAGCCTCTGTCTCAAAAAAAAGACAAAAAAGAAAAAAAAAAAGAAAAAAAGTCTCTCAAGAAATATATACCATGTCGTGAATAAGGTGATCTCTGAGGGAGTACAGTTATGGCAGACCTTTCATTTTCTACTAGTTCTTTCTGTGTTAAAAAGAAAATAGGCATGGCGTGGTGGCTCACACCTCTAATCCCAGCACTTTAGGAGGCTGAGGGGAGAATTGCTTGAGATGAGGAGTTTGAGACCAGTCTGACCATCATGATGACACCCATGTCTCCAAAAAATACAAAAATAAGCCAGGGTGGTGGTGCATGCCTGTTATCCCGGCTACTCAGGAGGCTGCGGCATGAGAATCACTTGAACCCGGGGAGGCAGAGGTTGCAGTGCGCTGAGATAGTGCTGCTGCGCTCTAGCCTGGGTGACAGAGTGAGACTCCATCTCAGAAAAAAAAAAAAGGAAACCAAACAAAATAAACCAACTTATTTTTTTTAACAGGAGCAAAATTCACAGAGCCAGTCAGAAATCACAGGAGGTGTCTAAGTCTTTTAGATACCAAAGAGAAGGTAAAAACCTTCTGTTGTGACCTCTATCCACAGAGGATGAGAAAGCCTGTGCCTTCAAACCCCTGTCCCCCCTGCCCCTATTCTTCTGAGTTTCTGGGGAGCCCCTGGGCCATTACCCACAAAGGTTATTTCGAATCTTTACTCTTTTCAAAAGCTCCTGTACCCACTCCTGCTCTTTCACTGTCAGCAACTGACTCCACATTCTATATGCCACAAGGAGAAAGTGAAACCAGGCCACCAGGTAGGAACACCATCACCTTCATGTATTTACTCCTGCTCTCTTTCAAAAGCTTCAATATTTGCACACACCATCAGTAAAGGCAACAGTGAGATGAATGCTTTTATGACTACATCACGCTACTGTCCCAAGAACAAGGAAGAAAAAGATCTGGAATAAACATTAGGATGCAACCAGTTCAACAACTACATTATTTCAGGTGAATCAGAAAACTGGTGGGAAAGAAGCCCAATTGTAGGGGATCATTAAGTAAACAGAAGATACCCCCTCAAATTCTTTATAAAAAGGGAATTCAAAATAAATACATGGGCCCAGCACGGTGGCTCATGCCTGTAATCCCAGCACTTTGGGAGGCTGCGGTGGGTGGATCACCTGAGGTCAGGGGTCAAGACCAGCCTAGCCAACATGGTGAAACCCCATCTCTACTAAAAATAAAAAAATTAGCTGGGCGCACTGGCACATGCCTGTAATCTCAGCTACTTGTGAGGCCGAGGTAGGAGAATCACTTGAACTGGGAGGTGGGGGTTGCAGTGAGCCAAGATTGTGCCATTGTACTCCAGCCTGGGTAACAAGAACAAAACCCCACTGTAATCAATAGAATGGGGGAGGCGGAGGTTGCAGTGAGCAGAGATCCTGCCACTGCACTCCAACCTGGTTGACAGAGTGAGACTCCGTCTCAAAAGAAAACAAAAAAACAAAATAAATACATGTATTTAAGTAGAGGTAGTAAACACAGGGGACTTTATTTTTAATTGCAGTACGATTGACATAAACTGTACACATTAATGTACAAATTTTAGGCCAGGCACAGTGGCTCATGCCTGTAATCCCAGCGCTTTGCGAGGTTGAGGCGGGCAGATCACAAGGTCAAGAGATTGAGACCATCCTGGCCAACATGGTGAAACCTCATCTTTACTGAAAATACAAAAACTAGCTGGGCATGGTGGTGCACGCCTGTAGTCCTAGCTACTCGGAAGGCTGAGGCAAGAGAATTGCCTGAACCTGGGAGACGGAGGTTGTAGTGAGCCAAGATTGTATCACTGCACTCAGCCTGGTGACAGAGCAAAACTCCAACTCAAAAAATAAATAAATAAAATGTACAAGTTTTGACATGTGTAAGCCCATGAAATCATTACCATAGTAAAGACAATGCATCCATCACCCCAAAAGTTTTCTTGCCCCTATGTTATTTCTCTCTCCCACCATTCCTTGCCTCTGGAGGTGTACTAAGATGAAAGCCTGAATGTGTGTGACACTGTACAGCTGTTAAAATTCATACAGCTGGTAATTTCTCTTTTACCTTCACTGTGACTAACTGGGTTCACACCCCTATTCTCCCTCTCCAGAATATAACAATAGCCCTGGTCTCTAGTTTCACGCATCTTGCTCCACCTGTAATCCATAATCCAGTCCTTATACATCACTCCCCTTGTTTAGATTAAGGTCGAGGTAAAGACCCTCAACGTGATCTAAGAGGCCCTTTGGGATCTATGTCCTGCCTAACTCCTAGACCCTTACTTCTTGCTATGCTCCCCTGAAACTAAAGGACGTGCCAGGTAACAAATGTGCTTTCGAATGTCTTTTCTTAAACTGCTTTCCTGGTTTGGAAGAAACAACCCTAAATCCTACCCAGCCCCAGGAAATCTCTACTCATCCTTCTAGAATTTAGACCAGTGCTTCCCAATCAAAGGCAATTCTGGCCCTCAGGGAATATCTGACAATGCCTAGAGACATTCTTTGCCATCATAACTGAGCAAGGAGTTGCTACTGTTACATACTGGGTAGATACTAGGGATGATTCGAAACATCCTGCAATGCGCAGGACAGTCCCGAAACAAAGAATTATCCAGCCCCAAAAGGCAACAGTGCAGAGGTGGAGAAGACCTGATCTATACTAAAATCCAGGCATCCCATTTTCTGTGAAAGCTTTCCTGTGTGCCCTACACAACAAGTTCCATGTTTCTTGCCAGGCATATGTGAACATCCAAAGGATATCTCTATTTCAGCATTTATCTTGCTGCAGGAGAAGTTCTGATTTACATGTCTGTCTACTCCACTAATTATAATTGCTTCAAAAACACAGACCATCTTTTTTATCAGTAGATCTCAGCTGTGCAACAAAATAGCAGGTTCACTGTTTTGCAATTTTAACATAGTTATATTTAACAATGAATGAACAAAAGAGAGAAAAAAGCATTTATTCTCTTAGGTCTATAAAAAAATCCTTTAAAAATTATACAAATAATACACGGTTCACAGATAAGAAAAAAACAAAGTGAAAAGTGATTTTTAAATAGGCAGAAGCACCATCTAAAGTTGAAAGAGAGAAACCCCACAAAGTAAATTTGAGAATTCTGAAAAGCAGTGCCAGGACTTTTACAGTATAAATTCTGTTATGTACTCTCTACTTACTTGAGAACAGCAATCTCTTGTACTGTTATAGCCCTTTTATCTTTGGTTCCCATGTAGGAGAATATGTTTGGCTTGACTCTGGTAAGACAGAAACAAGATCATCTAAAGAAAGTCACATACCATAATATCATAAGGAAATCCTAATTCTCATAATTAAGTTTTAATATAAACACTTAAAATCATAACACAGTAAAAGAAGAATGAAGAGAAACTTTATTTTAAAATGAATCCAGGGAGGCAGCCAGGGTGGCTCATGTCTGTAATCCCCAGCGCTTGGGAGGCCGAGATGGGTGGATCACCTGAAGTCAGGAGTTCAAGACCAGCCTAGCCAACATGGCAAAACGCCATCTCTACTAAAAATACAAAAGTCAGCCAGGTGTGGTGGAATGCGACTGTAATGCCAGCTACTCAGGAGGCTGAGGCATGAGAACCACTTGAACCTGGGAGGTGGAGGGTGCAGTGAGCCGACATCATGCCACTGCACTCCAGCCTGCATGACACAGCAAGACTCTGTCTCAAAACAAAAAAAAAGTATCTAGTCCAAAAAAAAGTATCTAGGAAAACAACATAAATTCATATGCAAACTAGAAAAGTAAATGACAGCCAGGTGTGGTGGCATGTACCTATCGTCCCAGTTACTGGGAAGGGCGGAGTGGGGAGGACTGTCTGCACTCAGGAGTTCGAGGGTGCAGTGCCCTATGATGGTGCCTGTGAACAGCCACTGTACACTACACTACTGCCTCGGAGACATAGTGAGACCTGGTCTCTTTAGAGAAAAAAAAAAAAGTAAATGATGGCTGAATAATTCCTTTCTTAGCAGTATAAACATTTGTGGCTATTAGTAAATAAATGAGGTTGTTCAAAGACTTGGCTAGCCAGCAACAAAAAAGGCAACAATACACTTCCTACCCACAATTCATTACATTACCTAAGACTGTGAAAGCAAAGAAAGCATTCTTTGCCATCACAACTGAGCAAGGAGTTGCTACCGCTACACAGTGGGTAGAGACTAGGGATGCTGCGAAACGCCCTGCAATGCACAGGACAGTCCCGCAACAAAGAATTATCCAGCCCCGAAGGGAAAGAAAGCAAAGAAAAAAATGCATTCTAGAGATACCATGCACCACTATGAAAATTTATCTTCAATTCTTAAAAAGTTAGTGTGTGAAGTTTCCTAAAATGCTGCTATTGCTTTGTATTAAAAAAAGCAGCCAAATGAAATGCTAAAACTGGGATCTGCATAGTTCTGATATGAAGATATAAGTAACCTAGTTAACTAAGAAGTATTTTACAAACTTAACCGTTGCATGTGAGAAGGAAAAAGGCAGGCAGAATTTTTTTTTCTTTTGAGATGGAGTTTCACTCTTGTTGCCCAAGCTGGAGTGCAGTGGCGCAATCTCTGCTCACCACAACCTCTGCCCACCACAACCTCCGCCTCCTGGGTTCAAGCAATTCTCCTGCCTCAACCTCCCAACTGGCTGGGATAGGCATGAGCCACCATGCCCAGAATTTTGTATTTTTATTAGAGACGGGATTTCTCCACGTTGGTCAGGCTGGTCTTGAACTCCCAACCTCAGGTGATCTCCCTCCTTGGCCTCCCAAAGTGCTGGGATTACAGGTGTGAGCCACTGCGCCCGGCCGGAAGGATTTTTTAAACCCTGAGCAATCCTCAATTCCCAATCTTGATGGAACTCCCTCCCCACCCATCTATTCCTGTCAAGAATGGTCTGTTCTCTCTGGCTCAGGTACAGACATAGTATCACAGACTCTCTCCCAGGAAGTTAATAAACAGAGCAAAATAAATGCTACTTAAGGGGTACTGTGTATCATGGGCCGAACTGTCTCCCCCCAAAATCAATCTGTTGATGCTCTGACCCCCCAGGACCTCAGAATGAGGCTATATTTGGAGACAGGGCCTTCGAGGAGGTGATTAAGTTAAAATGAGGCCATTTAAGGTAGGCCCTAATCCAATCTGACTGGTGCCCTCATAAGAGGAAACGTGGACACACACAGAGATACCAGGGGTGTACGTGCACAGGGAAAATGCCACATGAGGACACAGTGAGAAGGCAGCCATCTGCAAGCCAAGGAGAGGGGCCTCTGGAAAAAAAAACAAACTTGCTGACACTTTGAGCTTGGGATTGCTAGCCTCTAGAAGCATAAGAAAATTAATTTCTGTTAAGCCACCTAGTCTGTGGTATTTTGTTAAGGAAGTCGTAGCAAACTAATACACTGTGTTACCATATTTAAGCTGAGTTAAATATATATTAGAAACCAAATTTTCACAGCACACAGACTTGCTGTGGTGCGTAGCCACTTCCATTTTTAAGAAAAGCTTTGGCCCTGTGCCTACCCGCCACCCCCCACCCCGAGATCCAGCCTCTGCTATATTTACATTCCTGTGAGAAAATCAGACCGGTCTCAGGTTTAGTCAGTCTCCAGGAATTGAGAGCTCCCAGTCTGGCAAGACCAACCTCTGCAACCACGTCAAAGGATAAGTTTAGGCTTTCAGAAGAGAAAGTTAATTTTTGTTTTCAGCCAGATGGACTGGTAACTCTCAACTGCATGAGAATCATTTACTTACAGAATTTTCATCTTGAATTATTGGCACTACACACGTGGGGGTCAAAAAAATTAATTCATCCATTGCCTAAGACATCTATCCTTGTAGCCTGGAAGAAACTCATGCCTGGAAGAAACAACGCGCTTCCTACCCATGAATGGCGATTCTTAATGCCAGCACTTTGGGAGGCCGAAGTGTGAGGACTGTTTAAGTGCAGGAGTTCAAGACCAGCCTGGGCAATATAGTGAGACCCTGTCTCTAAAACCTAATAAAATTAGCCTGGCATGGTGGCACATGCCTGTAATCCCAGCTCCTCAGGAGGCTAAGGTGGGAGGATTGCCTGAGCCCAGGAAGTCAAGGCTGCAGGGAGCTGTGATCATCATTCACTCCAGCCTGAGTGACAGAGTGAGACTCTGTCTCAAAAAAACCAAAAACAACAACAACAAAAATAAATAAATAAAACTATCATTGGAAGGTGCGTGTGCTATCTGTAATCTGTGCTGCTCCTGCTCATTTTTCCATTACCACGGAAAAAGGAATACACATGTCTGTTGTTGATTTAATTTTGTATAGGCATAACAACAGTAACTCACCTTAAGTATCTGGAGAGTACATTAATAGCATCCATGGTGTCTTTGTTTTCCTTGTATAGTACAAAGTGGCAGTAACTTCCCCTAGATTTTGGCCAAGAATGTTTTCTTGGATCTTAAAAGCAAAAAAAGTAAACGTTATATACACCATAATAAAAGTTATGGGTATAAGAGCTCATTTTTTTGCTATAGAACCTTTGAGTGGGAAATCAGTTCTAGTCTGATAAACAAATATAGGATATCCTCTCTGGTATCAAAAATAAAAATAAAAAAACAACAAAAAAAGAAATATAGGTTAAGTGGTTATAGCTGTGTGGACTACAGGTATTACAGTTTCTGCAATTGGACACTTAATGGCATCTATCCATAGTTAAAACAAAAAGCTAAAATGTGACTGGGCACAGTGGCTTATACCTGTAATCTCAGGACTTTGGGAGGCCAAGGCGGGCGGTTAGCTTGAGCTCAGGAGTTCAAGACTGGCTTGGGCAACATAGCAAGACCCATCTCCACTAAAAATAGCCAGGCGTGGTAGTGCACACCTGTGGTCCCAGCTACTCAGATGGCCGAGGTGGGAGGATCACTTGAGCCCAGGGGCTGGAGGTTGCAGTGAACCAAGATCATGCTACTGCACTCCAGCCTGGGTGACAGAGTGAGACCCTGTCTCAAAAAATAAATAAAAGAAAAATATTTTTAATTTTAAAAAAGAAGAAAAAAAAATTAAGCCAGGTTAAATGCTAACTTCTAAGCAACTAGTGCTACTTCAATCCCATGTTAAAAAATACAAGATTTAGGCCAGGTGTGGTGGCTCATGAGTGTAGTCCCAGCACTTTGAGAGGCTGAGACAGTGGATCACTGAGGTCAGGAGTTTGAGACCAGCCTGGCCAACATAGTGAAACCTCATTTCTACTAAAAATACAAAAATTAGCCGGGTGTAGTGGCGGGCGCCTATAATCCCAGCTATTTGGGAGGATGAGGCACGAGAATTGCTTGAACCCGCAAGGTAGCTGTTGCAGTGAGCCAAGATTGTGCTATTGCACTCCAGGCTGGGAAACAGGAACAAGACTCTGTCTCAAAAAAAAAAAATAAATAAATAAAAATAAGGTTAGATTAATGCTGCTCAAAGTGTTTTGTTTTTTTTGTTAATACTTTGGGAAAAATATGTAAGCCAAAACTGCACTTCGCAGATGTTGTACAATAACATTCATGAGTCCTGTGTGACACAGAGCGGCAATTATTAAACACATCTAGTTCATTTGTTTACTGTAACTCCATCAAAGAAAAACAAAAAATACTTCATATAACAATTTCTAGAAAGAGTCCTCTTCTTTTAAAAATAATCCTTTTTCATGAACTCATGAATCCTTTATCTTCAGAGACTTAAGATACTGCTGGTACTGAAGTTGGTACTTGGATACCTGGCTTCGTCAAGGCAAAAGCACTGTTTGGTAAGTTAGTAATTTAAGCTACAATGAAAAGAACAAAATAATCCATAAACCATTTCAAAAAACTGCCATAGAATGTATGCCTAGTGAATCACCCTTCCTTCTTGATAAATACGTGAGTTTTTTCTGTCTTGGACAGAAAAGTATTACAAGTATTTCTTTAGCTCTTGGTGTGAATTCCTCACAAGTTCTTCAGAAAATTGTTGAGTAGGAACATCATTTTCGAGTTTCCTTCCAGCTCACTATCAGTTAAGCTAAGTTGTCTATACTTAGCACTTGTGACAAAATCTTTGGCATTTCACTTTACGTATATGAAATGCCAAATGCTCTTACCTGCTGCAGTTCTGACCTCTGTCCAAATGCACAGCATAAAGATTACAAAAGAGCAATGTTTAATTTATAATATTAAATTGCTTTAGAGGTGAACATGCAAATGATCTCATGGTTTACACTGAGGACTTCTACAGCACCTGGGAGTTATGCGGTGGGTTAACAGCCATTTAGACATTAACAATGGAATGCTGTAGAGGCAAACAATGAACAACTAGAAAATTCTTCTACAGGTACAGCCTTCTTGTCTCAACGCCTTCACAATGAGCATGTTAGTTCATCCTCAAAGCTGCACTGTCTGAACCCCTGGGATAAAGCAAAATGTTTAAGGCTAGATAGTAAATCCTTCCCCAAAAAGAGATTTGTTTTCTTAAATATGGGAGGACACGTACCAAAATGCTATTTGTGATTATATGTTTTCTTTGGTGGTTAGGCTACAAGTAATTATTGCTTTGCTTTGTATTTTTCTGCATTTCATTAGTTTCTTGCTTTGAATTATAAAGACTTTTACGTTTGAAAAATATTAAATATATAGAAAAAAGCAAGGTCTTTATAGATTCAAAATGATTTAAGAGATGACTTGAGACTTATGAATGAGTGCGATGTTCTGGCCTTGTTTCTATCATTCTTCGAACAAGCCATCTGTATGTAAGAGACATTTTTGAGATACAGCAAAACCAAATATGCAATAGGTATAGGTATGTGATGGGAAGAAATTACTGTTGATGTTTTTGATTGTGATAATAGCTTGGGGTTTCAGTTCTTATCTGGCAAATACATACTGAAATCTTTATGAGTGAAAAGCCATGCTATGTAAAATTTCCCTTAAAATGCTCCAGCAAGAAAAAAAAGGTAGGAAGAATAGATCAACAGAACAACAGAATGTTGGATAATCTTAAAGATGGTTTATGGGTACACAGGTTCCATATACTATTTCCTCTATTTGTGTACAAGTTTGAAAATGTCCACCATAAAAACTTTAAAAATACTTGTGATAAAAGTTGATGAAGTATACATACATTTTTCTTAATTACTCCTTCAGAGAATTCATAATTAAGTACAATGGCAAGAAATAAATGAAGTCACAAGACTAAAAAACTAAATGCTGCTATACCTTAAGAGAAACCAGGACAATGGAGTGTGAGTTTTGTCTCACAAGCATGCATCCTCTATTTAGCAAATCCAAGCACTGAGCATGCATACAATTATCTCCTTTGCAAACAACAGATACAAGTATGCATTGTTTTTCTAAGTGCAATCAATATACAAAATAGTAAGTATACGCATTGATTAACTGGGAATATTTTAAATAACAGAAAATCAGTGAGTCTGAATTTATTTTTGGCAATTTGTAAGACTTTATAAAATTCCACCCCCTAAGAATGCTAAGCAGCATATACTTAGCTTTATAATTTGAGTGAATTTAAAATAACTTGCAAACATTTTTGAGACAGTGATTTATACTGCAAATGCACAGAATTCCCAGGCTGGGTAATATGGTTCCTGCTTGAAGAAGGCTGCTTCCACCCTCTGAGGGCCTGACAAGGCAGTCCCAGTCTAGTAAAAATGGAAACCAAGATCAGGAAGTTTATGTATTGAGTGCAGAGATCTCCATGAATAAGGAAGGAAAAATGTTTGTAGCCGAGAAAGATGAAAGGATGGTAGCATGTGGAACATTCTTTCCTTCTTATTCAAGGTCATTCCCACCACTGCACCCCTGCACCCCAACCTTCAGCTTTCTCAGGGATCCTACTCCATCCATTACCTTTATTTTGTTATTCTTCTCCCTGAACTTTCACCATCCCTCTCCATTGTCTCTTTCCTTTTTCTAATTTTTTTTTTTTCTTTTTATAGAGATGAGGTTTTGCCATCTTGGCCAGGCTGGTCTGGAACTCCATGCCTCAGGTGATCTGCCCACCTAGGCTTCCCAAGGTGCTGGGATTACAGGGATGAGCCACCACGACCAGCCCTCCATTGTCTCCCTTGCGTATATAAATAATTCACGACTCTTCCATCTTAAAAACCTAACATATGTTCCCTCCTCCTTAATCATGTTCCCTTCCCTTCTCTTTGCAGGTTATTTGAAAAAGCAGTCTGTATACACTACCTTCCATCTCAACCTACTGTGTAAACTGTTTTCCAACCTCATCATGCCACTAGAATGCTCTGGCAAAAAGACACCAATAACTTCCATGTTGCTAAACTGATAGATTTCAGAGTAATTATCTTGCTGGACCTACCTGTGGCATTTTCCATTGCTACAGGAATGGAAGCAATGGATAGTCCACTGACCACTCTGATTACTGGGATTCCCTATTCCTGTGGATTCCATAACACCAGCCTTTCCCTGAGAGCTTCTTTGTACCTGCCTTTCTCCTGAGTCTCTATGTATTCCTACATACAGGGATCCCTCCTGGGGACCATTCATTTCAGAAAGTATAGAGAACCTATACATATTGCATGGCAGAATTTTCCCTTTTTAGGTAAGTCATTAAAAACTGTGTTCTTAGAGGCATTTGGAATGTATACTACCTGTCTCAAAATATAAATTAATTTGCCAGTAATGTTACAATAGTTTAGATGGTATTTTCAAAAAAATACCACACATACACTTTGGTAGGTAGAGCAATGTGCCCTATCAGACTGGCTTAACACATAAAATAATGTCTGAGTTTAAACAGTTGGTAATTTGTGGTGTTTGGGCAACATGATTTAAAATCTACCACATCTATATTTTAGGATGCACAGTTCCATCTGAGAAAAGTTTAGGTTAAGAATATTGTTAATCACGGTGGCTCACGTCTGTAATTCCAGCACTTTGGGAGGCCGAGGTGGGTGCAACACAAGGTCAGGAGATCGAGACCATCCTGGCTAACATGGTGAAACCCCATCTCTACTAAAAATACAAAAATTAGCCGGGTGTGGTGGTGTACATCTGTAATCCCAGCTGCTTGGGAGGTTGGGGCAGGAGAATCGCTTGAACCGAGGCAGAGGTTGCAGTGAGCAGAGATCGTGCCACTGTACTCCAGCCTGGTGACAGAGCGAGACTCCGTCTCCAAAAAAAAAAAAAAAGAATATTATGAATCTGCGGATATTGCATAACCCACCAATGACAATTTCTATCAGGGTCTGGTAGTAATACAGCTTAAAAACATCTGTAAATTGCAAAGCTTTATAATGACACTTTAAAAGCTAAACCATTCAAATGCTAGGCAAGGTGGCTCAGGAGGACAAGCTGTCACTGGTAGAGGGACATGAACAACAATCTTTGGATAGCAGATCTTCCTCCTTTCCTGAGGATGTTCACTTTAGGCCACTCTTAGCTTGGGGAGAGTGGTGTCTGTAAAAGATAAATGCAGGCTCCTAAAGGCCCATCTGGGCCAGGGTGGCCTTCCATGAGGAGGTGGGAGAGAACAGCTCAGATGGCAGAGATTTAGTTCATCCTTGAATAAATGCCACAACACTGCAATCCCAAGAAGTGTAGTTCTCTATACAAGGGGGATTGATCCAATCCGACCTTCCTTCTTGCTTCTTTTTAAAGTGAGAAATTCCTATCTTACTGAAGATGTCCAAAGGGAAATGGGGAAGGGTAGTTCACATCACATAGCCTTCGTATCACATAGCTCAGTACTTCACTTGTAAAATCTTAAGGAAACTTTGTAACAACAAAAAATGGAAAGGTGGGTATGGCATAAGCAGAAAAAATCTGGATAAAAACACATGAGAGATCTGGCACTGTGTTTATTGAAGAGGATGGTAGAAAGACTGTAATGGCCACTTTGGCCTGCAAATGCCCTCCATCCTCTCACAAAACCTAGCTTCCTAAGAAATGATGATCACTTTGAAAAAGCCACCAGTCAAAAAAACAGCTTTTGCCTTTTCCAACCTGCTTCCTCAGACCACACCAAGAGGAACAATGCCTTGCCTTGTCTTCCTGTGTTCATAATGGGCAGCACTGCTGACCAATGTGGTCTGTTTCTTAACAAGAAAGAGCTGCCTTGTCCCCTTCGCACCTGGGTTCCCTGAGAGAAATAGGACCACGTGCCTCAAGGCATTGCTGTCTGTAGTAAGTCACCACTCCTCTCCATCTAGAGTAGTTACTAGCTGTACACCATCCTTGGGAGAACAGAAGCAACAGTTGCTCAAATCACTTTCCACTGGGCTTACTCCTCTTTGAGCAGTCTTGGCTGAAAACAGGCTGCTCAGGTGGTATTTTATACTATGACCCAGACATTAAAGAAACATACAGCAACCACACCATTCATTTGTGGAGTGAAGAGTGATTAAGAACTCATGCCCCGAGCAGTAACAGGGCACATCATCTGACTCTTCTTTTCAGTGTTCACTGAATACTGGCCTCTGATCTCCACCTCCTCCTCTGTAACTGCTCAGGTATCTTGCTTCTATAGCACTATCTGGTCTTGCTGACTTGCCTAGATTATTTCCTCAGGCATAAACTTTCTTCCTGTTTTCTTTTTTGTTGTAGCCTCTCATTGCACTAGAAACATGGTTATAAGCAATCAAGGCTTCATCCATTACAGTATTATCTTTTGAATTAACCTAAAAGAATACTGATAGAGCCCTAATAAATAAACAGCTTTTTGCTCTATAGTCTTAGAATTTTGTTCCAACAAATATATCTAGGAATAACTATTCATTAGTACAGGCTATCACTGGCAGGAGAAGAGGGTGAGGAAATAACTTTTTCTTGTTGTAATTTTCATTAAAATTTTATCTGTCAATATGGTAGGTAAAAGAAAAAAAATTACCTAATTTTCCTTAAAGGTTATATGCAAACAGAAACTTTTGCGGCTGTGGAAAACACATTAGAACATAAATATTGGTGACTCATTGGCAATATGCCCATTTCAAATGAATGATGCACAACAAAAGATGGGCTGGGACAAAAGGATGTCTTTGTATATATTTCCTATTTTTTATGTGTGACTGAGGAAGATAAAGGTGGAAAGCAAAAGTTCTTTCAATATGGGGCCTTGCAAAAATATGCCACTGGAATAAGCAATTTTTGTTCATCTGAAAGCTTTCTCTCCTCCATGAAGAACACAGAATGAACCATAATCCTTCCATTTTCTTCTTGAATTGCCACTCAGCATGCTCTGCTCTACAGAGAGCATTATCAAATCTCTAAGACTCTCTCTCAGGCACCACTATAATTTCAGCAAATCTTTACTCACATAAGAGACCTTATGCCCCTTGCCAGACAGGCTGCAGGGCTGCGCTGGCATCTGAAATGACAATACTCACCCTCTCTGAAGGAGGGACATGATCAATATTGTTCTCTGAGCAGCACTAGCGTAGCCCTAGAACATGAACAGGCAAGGCTAATGAGCAGTGGGGCCTGCCTTTCTCGGCCACCTGGCAGGAGGAAGCCGCTCAGACACCTACTTGCCAAAGCCTTTTTCCCAGCTGCGTGGTAGGCTACAATGTACTTCTTCCCCTCCCTATCCTCTGTTTTTGTCTCTAATCCTGGAAACAGAGATTTGATAGCCTGATGGATGACGGTTCTTTTCTCTTTGGTGTCCTCGATAACCTATTAAAAAAAAAAAAAACAACAGCAACACCACTAAGTTAACAAACATTAAATAGAGAACGAATACAGTGAATTAGTAAAAACACTGCTCACCTTATTAACTATGCAAAATAACAAAAGTGTCTGCATACGATTTCAGAAATATATTTTTGTTTTTTTTGACAGAGTCTCACTCTGTCGCCCAGGCTGGAGTGATCTCGGCTCACTGCAACCTCAGCCTCCTGGGTTCAAGGGATTCTCCTGCCTCAGCCTCCTGAGTAGCTGGGATTATAGGCACGCGCCACCATCCCAGGCTAATTTTTGTATTTTTAGTAGAGATGGGGTTTTACCATGTGGGCCAGGCTTGTCTCAAACTCCTGGCCTCAAGTGATCTACCTGCCTCGGTCTTCCAAAGTGCTGAGATGACAGGTATGAGCCACAGTGCCCAGCCTCAGAAATATTTTACAGCTTCTCAATATCGCAAATCCTGGGAGCCTGTTGATGGAGCACATCCATCTGCAGACACTGCACAAAGCCCTCTGGTCATTTTATTTAATCTTTGTAATCTCCCCACATAACACTATTATATCTATTTAGAAGTGAGGAACTGTGTCTATGGTTATATCACTGGAAGGCGGTAGAGCTGGATTTGAAATCCAGACTATTGAACCCAGGGGCCACCAACCCAGATACTCTCTCTCGGGGTCTCTGCTGGACAGGCACCTCAGGACTCCTACATGAAAATGCAAGCAAAACCAGGCCTTTTGATATATCAGAAACTCAATCCCTTTGAACAATCCAACCTACAGCTGCTTCCTATTGAATTCTATTCTAAATTATTTTATGAGGTTCTAGCACATAGGTTCACCATAAAGAAGAATCAACATAATGTAAACTCACTAGTTACATGATGTTTTCAGTTTGTGAGTGCATCTCATACCGAGACATTTTCTCTCTTTACTCAATATAACCATAAATGTGTGTGTATATGCTTCATTTTAAGAATCGAAAAAAAATCACAAACCAATATTCATACTATTTGCAATGCACAAATATCTTCTATTTTATTATATTATACGTATTTTTGAGACAGGGTCTGGCTCTGTCGCCCAGGCTGGAGTGTAGTGGTGAGACCCTGGCTCACTGCAACCTCTGCCTCCCGGGCTCAACTATCCTCCCACCTCAGCCTCTCGAGTAGCTGGGACTACAGACATCTGCCACCATGCCCACCTAATT